CGTGCTTGCGGGCCGCGGCCGAGCCGGCATGAAGCGCCGGCCCGCGGCGGGGGCCGCTTGTGCGCGCCGGTCGCCGCGCCCCTGGCCCCCCGCGCCCCGAGCCCGCATCCAGCCTCCAGCGGCTCCGCCACGCGGGCTGCGCCTGCTCCGGCTTCCAGACCCGAGCCGCTGCGCAGCATCCGGAGGTTCTGCTGCAAAGAAGCCGACTCAAGTCGCGGGGACCGCATTTGCACTTGCCTCTGGCTGACATCTTTTGCACAGATGCACCCCAGCCAGGCTGACACTAACGCACCCTGTCAGCAGAAGCTCCAGCTCTGGGGCCGTTGAGTGTAATCCGGAGCGGGGAGAGAGTCAGAAGGGCCTTGCTGTTGGGGAGACGTGCGTGCATGAGTCGAGTTCTCTCTCTTCCCCACTCTGTTTTTCTCCCTTCCCCCAAATTGCAGTTATTCAGGCTAAAAGTCAGCTTGGGTCATTACTTGTCAGGCTTGCCTTAGGCCCCTGATTTGTTGACGTCTAATCCTTAGAAATTGTTGCACATTTTATGTCATCTCGGTGTGCTTTTTTAATGAAATTTGGGAAATAAAGTAGCTATTTGGAGAACTGGCGGCGAGAAAATCATAACTCTTAAGCAATTGATTGGTTTTTGTAGTCTCTGGGCAGATGAAGACCTGATTAGACCTCTTTTAAACAATGATTTTAATAACTTCTGATTGATGCATATTGTGGGATTGAAAACTCGCAAATCTACTTTTAAAATAGGTACTGTAGGAAACTGCGATTTTAAATTTGTGTTAGTTACCTTAGTTTGCATCAGAATGTCCCCCATTTAACTTATGCACACTTTTACATTTACTTTTGTAAGTGCTTAGTGTAGTTTCTTGCACCAGAAAGCTGCTTAATAGTTGAATAATTTTACAAATTGTGTTATTCAAATAGTTTCTTAAGAATTTGATTTTTGCCTTTTGCTCAGCTTAACTACTGATTAAATAGCTTATTATTAAGATTAGTATGAACAGGTATAATACTTCCTTATGCTCTAATTAATGTTCTTTCTGATTTTTGAGGTTCGTAAAGTGTGTTCAGGCATAATTCACTTTAATAAGCACCAATCACAATGCAAAATTGAAATCTAAGTTAATAGTGGTAAAATGTAAGCCTAATTGTATTTTCATTTGTGTTCATTGTCTCAGTATTTGAGTTTTTATATGACCATATTGCCTGTACACATCTTTAACACATTGGATTGGCAAATATTAGCTAAATATGGATATTAGCAATATTTTGTATTTATTCTTTCAAACCGTGACTTAAATTCTTTGAATGTCTTTCACGGAAAAGGGAGCAAAGGCAATAGTTTGATTTTGCACAATTTTATTTTTGAAATAATAGTAATAGAAATAATATTAGAATCATATATGATAGGACTTAATTATTGGATCCTGCTTGAGTTGTTCTGAACATTTGAAGAAGTTTGTTTTATTTGGTCACCTGCTGTCTTCAAGGTATTTCAGTCTTAATGGTTGTCAATTCATTAATTCAGGAATATTGGTTGCTTTCTATGTGTTAAGTGCCATTATATGCAGACTACTTATTTACTGTTGGAAGTAACATCCAGAAGCTAAAGGTAAAGGTCCCATTTGAAAATTGACTTGTTAGGTTAGAATTTAAACTTTTCATATAGATTATAGCCTTCTTCCATAGTATTGTAAAGAATTGGTTGAACCTTGTTGAAGTACAGTGGTGAGAAACTCATAAGCATTTCAGATGCCAGTATCTTTCATCATTTTAACAAATACAAGTGATGAACTTTGACATTTGAAATGTAAGTACATTTCTAATTTGTATTTGTTGTCTCAAGTGAACTGATGAAATGATTTAATTATTTTAAAGCTACTTGTTCTGTCTTGTGTTTGAAAAAATTGTTGTGGCCATCAAAGTAATGTATAGTGAAGTCTTCACAATAAAGCTTCCTCACCCAGTTTGGGTATCGCTTCAGTTTCTGTCCTCTGCGTGCATAGACTCACCTCATTCTTTCTATTACCTGAAGATGGTGGGGCTCCCACAATTTACATGCTGGAATTTCTTGGATCCAACATAAAACATATGGCCTATTGTTACTGTGTCACCAGATTTGTTTATAACTGACAGCTGGATTAGTGGAATTCTGGAAGAGATACATTTTGATTGGAATCTCATATAATGAGCAACTGAAGCCAGCGAAAATTCTTTGAAATGCTGAAAGAATAGTTGCAGATAGTTTTCCTTTGTACAGCAGTGACAGCAGAATATTTAAATGTGTCCTTTTTTTGTTTTTTGAGGTGCTGGGTATTGAACCCAGGGCCATGCGCATCTGAGCTAGTGCTTTACCACTGAGCCATTCCCCCAGGACTTAAAAGTGTCCAAAGACTATAGAGGATGTTAAAAGTTTATAAGTTGATGGTTGCCTGAGTGGTTTCTGCAGGTCTTGCTGTGCCAGGTGCATCATATCCAGGGCCTCACCTTCATGTTCTGCAGCCCATGGGCCCACTGAGTTCTAAACACTTCTCTAGAGCAGAAGTTTCAGTTTCTGTTATGTGGAACTAACATGATTTTAAATTGCTTCACATAGGAAAGCTTAAGAAGAAAAGGATTCCAAAGTTTGATGATTTGTTATTTAATGCCAGACCTAAGTGGCATGTTTACTTTTTGCTGTGCTGAGAGTATTCAAATAATGGAGAAACATTGTATCATCTCCACACAAATTAGTTACATAAGATTATTTTTATTCTTTTCTTTTTTTTTTTTAAGTACATCTTTTAATAGATCACAGTTTTCAAGTGGCACATTAAAGATGATACTCAGGACACTTGTCTTTGATACCACAGCAAAGAATGAAAAATAATAGGAAGAGCCTGCTTTCAAATTTGAAATCAGGCCGTTATTGCTGCTTACTGCCACACATGCAAGAATTACTGTCACACAAAACAGACAAATCTGTTTGCAGTGGAATGTGCTGGCTTTGGGCCATTGGATTACTGTTATTTGTCACTTAGTGCCACTTCAGCAGTGTAGAAGTCCATTTCTAAAGACTTGCATGTGCTTGGACTGCAGTTTTCCTGTCTGTTGAAGTGATCTCCCAAAAGGTTTTTCTATGACTGTTTCTGTTAGTCCAGGCTGGGTTAAGAACTAGTGTAAGAACATAGAGGGAACTTTTAGAGTATGTTCATAGTATTTGTTTCAACGACCAGAAAATGTATAGTTCATGTAGTCTTCCATGACCTAGTTATTTTCTGACTTATTAGAAATCTCCTTGACTGTGATCCATTTTCATTGAAGACCTGGGAAACCAGAAGCTACCTCTCCATTAGGCCTTGCCTTGGTACCTTTCCTGGCCCAGTTGCTCCTTCCTGGGAAAAGGGCAGGTGAGGTGTTGCGATAGGAGTGTGGGTTAGGACTGAGAGAGAAGGGTAATGTCCAGGAGGGTTCAAGCCTGTGTTCCTGGAGTTTTCCCCTTAAAGGCAGCACCTGCACAAGAATCGTGGCTGTTCTTAAGACCCTCAGGCCCCTACCTTCTGGGCTTGTGTCAGCAGCCTTATTGATTGTCATTCTTCAGATCAATTCTCCATTTATTTTTCTAATATCAGCTCAAGGGCCATGAAGTCCACATTCCATGATTCAAGAGTCCCACAATCAGTGCACTAAATGAAAGAATCTCCTCATAGGAAGGCAGGTGCTGTGCTTGTGCCTGTGGTATCTGGCTGCCTCAGTGCACACCTCTTTCTCTCCTCTGATGGTGGTAGTGTTTGGTATTCTCTTTGTCCTTATGAAGAAATGCTCCTTTTCATCTCTGTATTGGTACATTGGTACATGTTGGTGTTTTTTTTTGTTTTTGTTTTTGTTTTCTGGCAAAGGTTTAAAAAGTGTCAAAAAAACTTATCGACAGCTCTAAACTTACAGTCTCACTGGAGCTATTGTGGAAAAAAACTGGGTCTGTGTAAATGTTAATTGAATACTGTTAGATGTATCAGGTATGCCCTGCTGTAAGATACTGAATGCTGCCTGCCCCCCCCCCCAAATGGCATTAAAACTGCACAAAATGCAGTTTAGGAATGTAGCTTAGTGGTAGAGGGCTTGGGTAGGGTGCTGAGCCCTGGGTTCAACCCCCAAAACAGAAAAAGGAAAACAAAACTGTACAAAATAGAGTGTCACGTTCTAGACTTGATATTGTGGGTGCCTTGGATAGGGTGGGAATGGAGCTGCCCTGTAAGTAGCTTATCCCACTAGGTCCTCAGAGGAGGTTTGCTGGCTGGGTGAGATGCGGTAAGGGCAGCTTTGCAACCACCAAAATAGAAATTTTCCATTGTGAGTGCATGTCCGAAATACTCATTTTTGTTTTAAAATGCATGGAATAGGTTAGGGGATGTAGCTTAGTGGTAGAGTGCTTGCTTGGCGTGTGTGAGGCTCTGGGTTCAATCCCTGCACTGCAAAACAAAACAAAACA